CCTCCCTAGCACATGTGAGGCCCTGGATTTGATCCCAAACACTGTAAAAAATTAAAAAAATGAATATTATCGCTACCCCCAAATTCTGTAAAGCCTGCCAGCATTGCCTTGTTATCATCTTAATCCATCACTGAAGCTTATTTATGAATAAAGCCAAGTCGGGTTCCACCAACCATCACCCTGGGCAAAGCACAGAATAGTTGCACAATTAATGCCTGCTGTTGACAGGAAGGAGTACTCTTCAGCTTTCTTTGATGACCAAGCCAATATTTCTCACATTGCTTCTTGAATCAAGCCTACAGATGCCCCAACATGATTTTCTTCTTAGAGTGAGAAAAAGACTAGCTCGGCAGATGGCCAGCCAGGAGTGCAGGACTCCCACGCTCCCATGATGCTGTCCTGGGGCTGCAAAGAATGAAGCCAGGTTAGCCTGAACAGATTTTCAAAAACTATTTCTACAACTATACTACTGAGCCCCTTGGCAACCTCTGGAGGCCAGGTCTTACATTCATTTATTCACTCATAGATAAAATCAAAGCCATCTCTGGAACTCTAACCTACCCAGCATCTTTGCACAGTTTTCACATATGAATGGCCTGAACTAAACACCTCGCCATCCTACCCTGAGTCAGAGGCTCAAGAGAGGTGATTTCTGGGGTCTCTATCAATGCACCAGCAGAGCAAGAGCCCTAGGCTGGGCACACAGAGGGCCTCCACTCACTGCGCTCATCCATTTCAGTGATGATTTTAGTATGGTGAAGGGTGGGGAAAGCCTAAGATCCTGGTGACTTTAAAGCCAAGTTCCAGTTTGCAGACACTTTCATCTTTCCTTCTTCCTCCTGCTCCCTGCTCCACAAATCCCATCGGCCCTATGGTTAGTACAGCTGCAGCTCCCTAGAGTTTCACCTGTTATAGCCTCAGTGCAGCTGTAAGAGGGCGTTACTTGCTTCAAAATAGCTTTGCAAACCCATGCACACCAGAGGGAGATAGATACTCAGGGGAAGGAAGGGAGGAGAAACATGTCAGAATAGGAAACAACAGCAAAAAAGAAGTAGAGGTGAAACCCAAACTGAAAAGAGTCCCTTCACTTGAACCCCATGCTGCTCATTCTCTTCTGGGCAGATGGCAAACTGCCGCTTGCTGCTTTCTTGCATCCACCCTGGCAACTGTGTCCAAGTTCTTAGCCCTGTGCTCAGCTACTTTCTGAGTAGGAGCTAAGGGAAGCACAATGTTTAGCTGCTCCAGTGACACAGAAATAAGTGTTGGTCATGGCACAGAAGCGGTCATTCTTGAGTATTTTGGCTGTTTGTTAAAAACACATTTCACAAGACATGGTGAATCTGAATGGATAAAAGAGGGGCCTGGGAATGTGTATTTTTACCAGTCAGTACTCCAGCTGATTCCTATCAGCAAGTAGAGGAAACACTCTGTAGTCAGAGCAACTTGTTCAAATTCCAACTTGGGAAATTCTTAGCTGTCTAACTGGAGTCTTAGTTTTTTCATCTGAAAACTGGGAATAATGTCTACTCTATAGCATTATTAAAATAATTTTTAAAAGGCATTTAAAAACTGGGCACAGGTGGCTCACTCCTATAATCCTAACTACTTGGGAGGCTGAGATCCGGAGCCAGCCCAGGCAAATAGTTCGTGAGAACCCCCATCTCCAAAATAACCAGTGCAAAATGGACTGGAGGTGTGGCTGGAGCAGTAAAGCCCCTGCTTTGCAAGTGCAAAGCCCTGAGTTCAAATCCCTGTCCCATTTAAAGAGAATAACAAAGGTCATGATGTATAGTAGCTGTCGGTCCCTAAATGTGTGTTCCCCTTTCGCCTGAAGACCCTGGGTGAGTACTGAAAGCTGAGCAGATCAGGTCCAGACTGGCTTTAGGCTCAATCCCTGTGTAACACCTGGGCAAATAGTTGTGCAGCCTCTTCTGTAACTCCTCCAGTGACAAAGATCAAATTTGCTCTCCCTGGGAGCAGTCAGACAATTTTCATCGAGGTCTTTTCTTCCTTATGTTGAGCTGAAATGCCCCTTGGGTGAAAGAACAAACGCAATCCCTTTCCACATGATGAGGTGAGGCAATTGACTTGGGGTAAGTGAGGAGGAGGAGATGGGGAGGGGAGCCCATTTTGAACATGCCGCTTGTCTGAACACTGGGAGGGCAGCTTTATTTATGCGCATGTCCACCAAGTGGATATGCAGGTCTGGAGATCAGGGCTGTCATTTACACAATGATATGATTTGAAGATGTGAAAGTAAATGGCATCGCTATTTCAGGGCAAGACTAATGAAAGGTATTGGGGATAGTCAGCAAGGTAGACAGAGGCCTTTAAAGAAGAAAGCACGTAACTCATGGAAACACACGTGATGAAGAGGTCAGACCAATATCAGAAAACCAGTGAACCAGTCATTGAATCTAATGGCCAAAAGCTCACCATGGATCCTGGACAGAGTTGGGCTTCTGTGCCTCTGGAGCCTTCCAGGGCTGCTCAGGAACCACACACATCACCATGTTGAAAAGCTGGTGCTCACTTTCTTTCAGGCCACTGAAGGAAGGGTGACCCAAACAAGTAGCAGCAGTGACTACAGATGACTCCAACATTTTGCTGCCTGTATGTTAAGATGGTTTCCCAAATAATGCTCCTGTGCTCCTATTTTGGGAGCAACACTGCCTAGTACCGTCTTTCCTGGGCATTAATCACAGAAAATAACCCTCCTCTGTTAAGCCTGCCTTTGCCCAACTGACAAAAACACCCAGTTTTTCACACAACACTATTAACATCTTGAGGAACTAGTGTTTCCTAGCACAGAATTTGGCAAACACACTGAGCAAAAGAAGAGAAACAAAAGACAACAGTTTAAGGGACTATTGGTGTCAAGGGAAGATCTTTTTAAGAATGAAAGAAACAAGCCAAGTGGGGCGATGCACACCTGTAATTCCAGCCCTCAGGAGGCTGAGGCAGGAGGATCTTGGGTTCCAGATTAGCCTGTGCTACATATTGAGACCCTGTCTCAGAAAACCAAAAGAAGGGAAGAAATAAATGTTCCCATGCAGAAGGAAGGGAACCACACATAGAGCAGGAAGGCTAAAACAGGAATGTAAGGGAAGAAAGCAAATCAAGTTCCGATCCAGGGGTTGGCCCAGTAAAGGGCCTCAGCTCACTGCTGTGGCCAATAAAACATTATTCTCCCTGATTGAGTCTAGTGATCATAAATGGTTCCTGTTCTGAACCACAGCATACTTTCTTCAGAGGACAGACATTATCTAGACAAAATTAAGGACACATTATAACAGAGTCATGGTCTCTCCCCTCCTCCCCAGTCAGGCTGAGCAGATCCTTTGCCTGGGCCACAGAAGGGTGTTCCAGATCAAGAGCCAATGCCCCACTCCCCTGCCCAGGCAGGGAGAGCGCTAGCACAGGATAGGCAGAGAAGGGAAATCTAAAAATAAAGCTCTCTGAAGAAACTGTCTTGCCTAAAGAGCAGCTTCCCACGCACACTGGAGTGCCATATCTGCGGGGGCTAGGAGCACGAGAATGGAACAACCCTGACCAAGTTACCTAAGTATTACCCATTTTGGACGGGGCGGGGGGGAGAGAGCACATTTCTGTTTCCCCTTCAGTGGCCCAATGTCTACAGACCTGGAGCAAGGACTTTAGTGACAGCAAACAGGCCTCTCTTTGCCAGGAGGGAGACTGGAAAGGTGGCTGGGCCTTGTCCAGCCTCTCTACCCTTCTTCTCCCCTCAGCGGGAGGTGAGCACAGCAAATACTCTCCACATGCAAGGAGTGGAGTTTAGGATTCACTTTAAAAGAGAATTCAAAGGGTTCTTTCTAGTGGGCTTCGGCCTCAGAGAGGGGCTCCCTCTGCTCTGCACCCTGCAGTTGGGGTAGTCAGGGACTACCAACTGGGGAAAAAGAAAAGCAAGAACCAAGCACAGGGAGAGAACTGCAATTAGCACTGACATCAGTTAGCTATCATCATCTCACACCCCAAGGACACAGCAATTGTCATGTTGGCAGGCAACTAGCAAATGTAGCCTCCCCACCCCCAGCAAGTATCAGGGGCCACCAGAAAAAGTTCAACCTAACAGTTTGAGACAACCCCACACCTAAACTTTAAACATGGCTGTAGCTACTGCTGACTCTGGGGGGGGGTACTCCCACCACCTTTTTCTCCAAGGGCTTTGAATTTTCAGAGGCACAATGTACTGGCAATCAGACTGCTGGAGTTTTGCCAAGAAGCCCAGGCAGGAAGAAGGAAATGATCCCTACTTCTAAGAGGAGTTCACAGTGTTCCTTTATCAGTCCACTGCCTTAGGAAGGTTTGTACTTTGACCTGAGAGTATATACTACGCCTCAAGGGTCAGAAGCTCAACCTTGGACAGTTATCAGCAAATAGCTTTCAACAGCAATACAGTCAATATTATATATCTGTCTCATCTCCCACCCCCTTTCCCAAGGGACACATACCATTCCTTTCGAGAGTCACAGAATACTAAGTGCAGCAGGTGCTGAGAGGGGGCTAGAAACACAATGAAACACTCAGAATGCAGCAACCTGTCAGTCCTCTAGCTCTTAGAAGAAACCCTGTACCAGGACACTGTGAGAACAGATATGCTCAGATACAAATCCCGGTATCTAGTATGCATGTGTGGAAGGGGATGGGGGTGCCAAGTTTTCCCCTCAAAGCACAGATTGCAAGCAAAGTACCTTGAACATTTGAATGCTGACTAGCAACAATCACCGGGACAGTCTTTTACAATTAGAGCAAACTGAAATTTAACTGTACTGAGTCATTCATGAGCGAAAAGGAAGAAGTCAGCTCACAAAAGGGAGGAGATACTGACCATAAAACACACAACCTGAGCATACAGCGGGAAGTGTTATTTTAGTGCTGGGAGTACACACTCCCTACCCCACTAGTTAAACAAGAAGGGCTGGGCTGGTGTGGGGTTGCTCTCATCCAGCACAGGCCTGGTGTTCAGAAGGCCAACTTACCTGACATACAAGGACCTCTTCTCACTTGTTCGGAGGGACCCAGACCCAGAACTCATGCTGCTGTTCATCATTTGTTCTCTCAAGTCATGTATCTTCGATTCAAAGCGACTATACTCTGTCAGGGAGACAAGGGAAAAGAATGAACCCAAGGAGCTCCCCCAAGCTCACACTCCAGCGGCCAAAAAGCCAGGACACTGGTTTCAAAGTGGCCAGGGCTGGCCCAATCTTTGCTTTGATAAGCAGAGTCCCTCCTCCAAGGGGAGGACAAACTTCCCTCCACCCACAGCCTAACAGAAAGAAAGAAAACACCTGGGACGAAGAGTCACATTTGGGCATGTCGAATGGAAACAGCTTTTACCTGCCTCAAAGTTTCAGTGATCCTTAAAAAAAATAACAACTGGAAAGAAGATTCAGTGCGGCCCTTATAAATCTTTAGAGCAGGCACTAAAGCCCAAGGAGAGCAGATGGGCAAGGAGACTTTCCCAAAAAGCGGACTGCAGAGAACAGATGGCCCTGAAACGTGGGGATGGGAGTGGAGGGACTGGAAAGGACCTGGAGGCCGTTCTATCACTGTTAGGTGAAGAGAACAGTCTTTTCCAGGGATGACTCTTGGGGGGATAGGGTGGGATAGTGGATTACAGTAGAAAGGTTAAGAAGAAACAAACCTCAAGCATTTGAGAATACAGCTAAAGCTCTCCTGTGTTATTTCCCTCCTAGCCACCAACCTCTTTGGCTTCAGTAACAATTAAACATTAAAACAAATTCTTCCAAATCTAGAAGATGGCTAACACCTTTAAAATCATCTAGTCAAGCAAGGTCATTACTCCCTATCCAACCTTGGAACCCTCCGAGACCATTCCCTGAATCAGAGTTCTCACTACCAAGGTAGTTACGGGCTTCTGCCTTATTTAAGAAATTCTGACAAAGGAAAATTAACTCTAGCCATACAATTATTATAAGAGGCTTTTTATAGGGCTGCTCTGCTGTGACATTCTCCAAGTACATTTAAAATATGATATTCACACTTACCACACATACACAACATTTTTCAGGTCTATAATTGCGGCATAAAATAGGGTGTATCTAAGGCACAGGGCGGGAAATGGCAGAAAACGGCATACTTCACTAGGACATGCTGGCTTTAAAGGAAGTCAGGATTCATACAAGAGGTTGAAGGTGAGGCAAGTGCTTTAAAAAACAAACACACTTTGGGGGGGGGGGTTGGAATTCCACAAAAGCATGTTCATGCACCATGGAGGGCTGGCAAGAAGCATCCCCACCTAGTCAGTGTGACACTGCGGGAGAAAACAAAACACCTGCTCCAACACCTGCCTCTCCCCCTTGCCTCCAGGATAAAGCAACCTGACCTTCAGCTGGGTGAAAAAGGAACCGCTAAGAAGCCTAAGGGAGAGGAAGTGGAAATGGAAGTCTTGCAAACAGCCTGGTCTCAACAAAGTTTCTTTTCACCCACTGTGATATCAAGGAAGCCAACTGGTTAAATTCATGTATTCTTTCATTCATCACGCACTGGTGTTATGGTGATTTGTCCTCATTAACTACTCCTGTCCCTGAAATCCTGGATGAAGCAGTTGAGTCACTGACTCACCTATTAAATGTTGGGGGAGTGGGATGAAAGAGAGATAATAGCTGGACAATGTCCCTGTTCTGGGGGTTAGAAAGCAACACATCAATATCAATGAGGTGTCCTAATCTAAAGGTAAAGAATGGTGACTGATTTGTCATAGAACCTGGACTGCCCAAGAGTACAGCAGCAGGTCAATCCACCTCCTGAGAGGGCCGGGCATTGGCTCCACCCCAGGGCTCTCCTTGAAGCTGACCAGGCAGTCCTTTCTTGGGAAAGACAGGCAAAAGAACTATGCACAGAATGGAAAACAAACAAACAAACAAACAAACAAAACCCAATCTATCCGTAAGCCGTTTATATATTGCCTTCTTTGGAATTGACTTGCCCGCTGAACTCCAACTTAGCAGCAGGTCATGGCAGCTGCTTAGTAACTACATTTCTTTAAAAAATCCTTTAAAAAACAACCACCAAACCACCATTTCCTCAAGCTCCTAATTCAAGGCTGATAGTCCTGGGCTGGAGGGCTCACTTCAAATAAACTAGAGAGAGAGAACAAAACTATTGCTTTAAGGAATGCACTCTTTGTTTGTTTACACATGCTAAGATTTCAAATTTATTAAACTGTGTTTGATTCATTTTTTCCCATTCGGATGAAGAGTTCTGGCTGTTTATCAGTCTCTGGCTTCTATTTGTAGAGTTATCTAAGAGCCACTAGGCACAAAGTAGCCTCTGACTAAATGACTGTTGGGTAAATGAGGAACAATGTAAAAAACTTTCCAAGTTGAAGCTTCTGTTCTCAAACTAATAAACCATTAGGTTTATTTAATGGATGGCTGCCAGCCTCACTGAGGGCTTCCAAAGGTAGTTAGCAAGCACTCCCATTTACATTTGTTCCTGAGGTTAATTGTTGGAAGCAACTGAGGTTCATATTTTTAAGCACCCCTTTGAGATGTTAATAACAAAGGGCATCTGGTATATAACAAAGAAAAAGACCATTACAAAAAAACTCAGGAATAGACTTAAGATAGACCCCCATCTTTCTTTGCGGGAGGGGTGAAGTGCTGGGGTTTGAACCCAGGGCCTCATGCTTGCTACGCAGACACTCTACTATATGAGCCACTCTGACAGCCCTTTTTTGTATTGGGTAGTTTCAAGATAGGGTCTTGGGAACTATTTGCCTGGGCTGGCCTCAAACCATGATCCTCCTGATCTCTGCCTCCCAAGTAGCTAGGATTACAGATGTGAGCCACCGGTGTCTGGCATTAGACCCTCATTTCTTTTTTTTGCAGTACTGGGGGTTGAACTCAGGGCCTACATCTTGAGCCACTCTCCTAGCCCTTTTTTAGACTGGGTATTTTCGAGATAGGGTCTCGCGGAACTATTTGCCTGGGCTATAGACCCTCATCTTAATATTAGAAGCATCATTTTCCCAGGACAAAAGCTTCACTTGAAAACATCTGAATTCTAAGACTTCCCAAGATTCTCCCTTCCCCTCCACTTACAACTAACATAGCCATCACTGGAGGGCATCTCTTAGGCTAAAGTCACTGTGGAGGAAGCCCACTCAACCAGCCTCCAACTGAGAGGGCCCACTTCAGATAGGCTACTTTAAAGAAGCACTGCTTATTACGAAAATCTCAAGTCTATTAAACTGCACTTTACTCATTTGTTCTCATTCAGATGAACCCAACCATTGGTGACCCACAAAGATATCCAGGATGAGTCATACTTTGCTCCTTCCCTTTCTTTTTACCAGCTGCTAACCATAGAGAAACAAGTCAGAGGGGGTGCTACCAGAAAGCAGTACCAAAACAGGCAGGCTTCCCTTCTCCCACCCCCACACCGAATCAGAACCTACTGAGCAGAGTCCAGAAATCTGTATCAAATGTGCATCAAGGTGATTCTGTGCCCAATAAAGCTTAAAACTGCTAGTTTTAACTTACAGAATTGAGTTTTGTTTTGTTAGCTCAACCAATAAGGTGAGGCTCCTGCATAATGTCTCAAAAGGAAGGGAGGGCATGACGGTTGGAAAGCTCTCAAAAATGAAATTTGGCAATGCAATTGCAAGTTCTATGGGAAAGGAAAGTGCTAAAGAGGCCACTGTCCAATATGCCTGCAAAGAAACCTGATGAGTTTACACTTTCTTTTAAATTACGAAAGTAACAAATGATTTTTTAAAACTTTTTTGTGGTGCTAGGGGGTCAAACCCAGGACCTCATGCAAGTGAGGACCTAGGCAAGTGCTCTGCCACTGAGCTACATCCCCAGCCCCTGACTTGAAAAAATCTTTTTCTTTTGACATTTCTATACCATTTCCCTATTCCACTATTCAGAAGTTACCAGTTAGTATTTTTAGTATATACCCTTCCAGGCTTACTTCCATGCATGCATTATTTATGTACGTGCACTCACAACTCGCACAGATTCACACACACTTTTTTCATTCTCTGATACGGCATGGAAACTCATCCATGTCAGTACATACAGATGGATAGGTCCCATTCTTTTAAACAGCTATATGTGTAATGGGCAGACCATAATTTACCCAGTTATACCCCGATTGATATGTATTTAAATTGTTTACATTTTTACTGTTACAATCAATGCTGTACTGTACATTCGTGTGTGTGTGTGTGTGTGGCAATTTCTAGAAGTGAAACTACAGAGTCAAAAAGATGCAGCTAATGCACCCCTTACAGTTGTGAGGCTGGGGGTGTAGTTTAGTGGTGAAGCACTTGCCTAGCAGGTGTGGAGGCCCTGGGTTCAATCCCAGCACCCCAAAAAAGTTAAATTTTTTTAAAAGAGTTGTTAAAATTTCCCATGGCATGGATTTATCTTTTTAATTTTTGTTGCTCATATTCTACTGTCATTATTATTTTTAGTTTAAATTATACTGTTATCAGATTATTTTTTGGAATTTATTACTGTGTTCTTTAGCACCTAATATACAGTTAATTTGTATTAATGTTTCAAGAAGACCTATATTCTTTCTATTTGGGGTTGTTATTAATAATTGTACTTTGTTTTTCATACATATTTACCTGCAACTGAAATATAACATAAACTAAAGACTCCAAACACCAATGTACTTCTGATTCTTTCTCCCTATAGTTCCATAGTGTGTTGCTACATGAATTTTGGTGCTATTTGGAACATTCCTATTAGATATCCATTACGGAATTTTTTTTCTTTATTATTATGAAGTATATACTCTTTCCTGAAAAAAAGTTAAATTTTGACTGGCACTACCAAATAGAACCCTGACATTCTGAAGCCATTCTGGAGCTTTTCTGACTGTTAGGATAAATTGCTATTCTAAAGCTTCCAGGAGCTTTTCAGTTTCTGAAGAAGGGGAGGCAGAAAAATTCACCTTTGTGGACAGACTCATCTGATGTTTGAGGAAATACACTTTAATGAGCCTTTTGGTTATGCAAATGTAAAGCCAAGATTTTATCCTGGAGTGGACAAAGACAAGGAGGAGCTAAAATATTCTCTCTGCATAATGATGGATAAGGCTGTCCTGGTGGGTGG